GGGCCCCACGCCCCGCACGCGCGCCCCGTGCCTCTGCCCTCAGGTCACGAGGCGCGGGAGCCGCGAGGGCGGACGGCGCTCGCCGCAAGTTTGCAGAGGAGCCCCCGCAGCGGCTGCGGGCGAGGCGCCGGTGCGGAGCCGCCTCCCCGGGCGAGGCGCACTGCTGCTCCGGGTCGGTCCGCCCAGGCGCGAGCACGCAGACACACTCGCACACACTGGCTGGCACCGCCACAACCCGCCAGCCGGTGTGACAGGAGCCCTGCTACCCGCAGCAAAAACCTGCCCTAGGTACGGAGCATGCGCCAAAGCTTTCCACAGCCCCGGAGGAGTTTCCAGGGGAGGAGTCCGCTGCTCCGCGGGGCTCGGAGGAGGCAGCCGGGGGTGAGAATCCCTTCAGCCTAGAGCCAGGAGAGATCTGGGGGAAAGGCAAAGGCGGAGCGAGGAGAGGACGCCAGGAGATCTTCGCTGGCGCTGGCCCGAGACCTCCAAATCGGCAGCTTTCTCAATCTGAGAGCGGACAGAAATCTGGCCAGCCTATTCGCAGGGATAACACCTGCCTATCGCTGGGCAGACTCACCTAGACTGGACTTTACAGGAGTTGGCTAGCCTCTTGGTGGCAGCGGGTATTGGCTCTAGACTGCTTTTAATGTCTACCCAAGACATTCTGACTGGCGCTTAAGTTTTTTGGTCCTTCCTTAACTACAAACTTGGGGTGTTCAACTCTTCGACTTCATTCAACCAGCTCCATTCATCAATTACCCATTAGGCGCCTACAGTGTATGAGGCACTGTGTTCAATGCACACTTCATTTCTTCCAGCACCAGACAGTTCAGCCCACAACCATGCAGCACTTAGAACATAAGAGGAGTTTAGAGGTCACCTCCTAAAATTCATCCTACTAATACACAGTGAGCCCCTAGATGTGCAAGATTCATCCCTTCCCCCCAGTGTGGAGGATAAGACCTACACTGAGCTGTATTTCATAAGCTAGAAAACTGTTGTTTGGGTGCGGATCTTTTTAACTTTATTTTCCAAACATCTGAATTTTGCATTTATCTGAGAACCAAATCTTTGTTTAGTAACAGTTTCTGTTTTTCAGGTAATGAAATCATCAAATTGGAGTAACTGCCCCTCTACAATCCCTGGACTTGCTTGACTCAAACGGAGAGTGGCAGTGTACTGAAGGCAGACACCATGCAGTTTGATTCCCTCCTGGCTGCTCTGCCAGTCCTGGTCTCCTACACCTGACATCCATACCTTCATAACTTCCAGGCTTCCTTCTTGGCCTGTTTATGGATCTATGAGGTAATTGTCTCTTCCTGAGATACTGTGCTGATTTCTATCATTTGTCAGACTGTCCCCTTCACAGCCATCAGTTAAGATCCAGATTTCTTTCAGGATGCTAACGCTGGCTCGTAAGAAATTATTTTTATTGTTCTATACAGATTGGATTCTTCACTTAGTATGATCAACAAAACTTCCCTCCCCTGCTTCCTTTCCTCTTTTCAACTCTATAAACAACCACAGTGTCCTTCCTGGTACTGTATGAGACTATGTTAGTAAAGAAGGTGAGATGATTCAGTTTCTTTAAAGCTTACTTGATTCTATTTCTTTTTCTCTCACTGAAAGTTTAAAATCTTATTAGTGGCATCACACTACTCTCCAAAGCAAGAAATTGTGATAGAACAAAAACCCAGTAAAACCCAACGATTATTTCCTGAGTTCATCTAGTTAATGGTGTTACTTATTTTTTTAAATATGCTTTTGCTTTAGCAAAGTTAAAATCTATTATACCTTTTCATATTACTTTACTTGAGAAGTTTGTCATTTTCTATAAAATCACTTGATATCACATGGATAAATATAACCTCATTAGCTACCCAAATGTATAACCTGAGTGCTGGTGGCAATTCGTATACTGGGAAGCACTTTCCTAGCCATTATCTCATTTGCTTCTCAGAACAACACTCTAAGGAGATGAGAGAATTACAGTCCTCTCACTCTATGATTGGGGGGGAGGGGATTGGTTTTAAGATCCCTCTCCAAAATCCTGGGTTACTCAAGTCCCTTATTTAAAATGGTGTAGTAGTTGCATTTAACCTATGCATATATTTTGGTTTTTTAACTGAAGTATAGTTGATTTATAATATTGTGTTAGTGTCTGGTGTACAACAGTGATTCAGTCATACATATATATACATATTCTTTTCTATTATAGATTATTATAAGATGTTGAATATACTTCCCTGTGCTATACCATAGAACCTTGTTGTGTGTCTATTATATATATGATAGTTTGTATCTGCTAATCCCAAACTCCTAATTTATCCCTTCCTCCCTTCTCCC